TATGCCAAATTTGATCGAAATCGGTTCCGATATAGCTATAGCTCCCATATATATTGTTCATCCGATTTGTTATTTTTGTTCTCCGCAGCCGTAATATGCACTCTGTAACAACAAAATTTGGGGAAATATAGCAAATACAGCTCAGAAATATCTTTGCAAAAATTTCGGTTCAGATTTGGATATAGCTCCCATACATAACTTCGTCCGATTTAGTTTTTATTGTGCACCAAACGTCTAATATTTGTCCAAATGTAATGGAATTTGGCACTTACGACCGAATTGAGTCTAGAAGCTAGTATGTCAAATTTGGTAAAGATCGGTTCAGATATAGCTATAGCTTCCATATATATTGTTCATCCGATTTGTTATATTTGTTACTCACAACCGTAATATACACTCCGTAACAACGATATTCAGGGAAATATATCAAATACAGCTCAGAAATATCTTTGCCAAATTTTATCGAGATCGGTTCAGATTTGGATATAGCTTCCATATATATCTTTATCCGATTTCAAATTAATTGTGTACCAAATGGGCAATACAAGTCCGAATTTAAAAGATACAAATGCTTCGGCATATTTAGTCCTTTGAACTTTAAATTATAATTATAATCATAGCGTGTATGATTGAATTCTCCCATAAAAACTTTTAAATGTTATGTGGAGCTCTACTAAATTAGAAAAGTGGTGTAGGGTATCATAAAGTCGGTCCCGCCCGACTTTAAGACTTTCTTTACTGGTTTTAAAACACATTTGACTTTTTCGAACAACCATTTGTTCTTTTTCAAATGCTAGGCACCCATGTTTATACCGTAACCGAAGAACTGAATTGGTATGCTGTTATGTGGACCCTGTCAGTGCTCCTGATTGTAGGCGTAAAATTGGTAAGTTCCATTTGTAAAGTGATACAAATTCGTAAACTCTCCCTCTTTAAAAGCAAATCCATCAAGCAATTGCTCCATGGCTGCTAATGGGTGGTATAGTCGTTGTCATCGGTTTCATTGCCGGCACCATCATTGGTAATCCTGAAAAGTATATTTTGGAGCTTTCCGTAATAGGTAAGGTATATTTCCAAATATAGTTCTTTTGTTTTTAAAATTAGTCTTCTTATTCGTTCAAAGCGATTCAAGCAGTGACGTGGATACCCGTCTATTTGCATTACAAGGCATTGCGAGAAAGTTTCTACTTCAAACCGAAGAATTATGTACGGCCCAACAAATATGCTGGAGCTATGGATTAGATATTCATTAACTAAATAAATGAGTTGGTTAAAATGTATAATAAAAAAAATTAATATAAAAAAAAAAAAAAACAAACAAACAAAACAAACAAAAATTTGGTGATATACTTGAAGGGTTTGTTATGTTACGAGGGGGCAAGACACTTGCACCGCCCAGAAGCTAAAGACAATTTAAGGGCTTAAACACAGATACTATCAGTAATATAAATATCAAATTTCATAATTTTATCTCTATCCCTTCACCCAATACTAAATACAGTACCATTCAGTTCTTTTCGTGTAGTTATAGTATACATTTCCGAAACAACTTTTGTGTCTCAATCCTAAACACCAACAGTTACATGTATACCATATTTCGCGATTCCAGCCCTATTCCTTCACCCAATACCAAATTTAGTACTTTTTGTTCAATTGTAGTATACATTACCGAAACCACCTCCATAGGTTAAGGCTACAAATGAACATTGACTAAATGCCAAATTTCAGATTTCAAGCACTATCTGTTCACCCAATACCAAATTGTACCAACAAATAGTACCATTTAGTACTTTTCGTGAACTTGCCATACGTATTTCCAAAACCATCTGAAGTTTTTAGTTCTACCCGTTCACATAATATCGTTTTCGTAACCTTAAAGTTCGAATTTCCAAAAACCCTTTAGTACTTCTATCTTGAGCTCCATTAGTGTCGGCTGTTACCGTGATACTGGTACTGGTACGGTAGCACGACGTCATCAGTAAAAATGATTCTAAAACAAGTAAGCAAAGGCTACAGTCGAGCGGGGCCGACCGTTGAATACACTACAATAATCGATACAGTTTATATAGGCAAGATACTCGAAAGAATTCCACAAGATATTGTGACAAATAATAAAAGAAAACCATCAGGTTTCGTTCTCTAATTTTCCAATAATAGCATCTTTAACTAATTTGCTCATTTCCAATTTACTGGAACCAATATTTCCCAAAGACCTATAATCTCTCAGAAGCGGCAAAAGATTAACATTTATTATTTGTTTTTTGACTGAAATGCATCTATATGAGATACATACATTTGACTATATTCTTCAACGAAATCAGCGTTATCGAAATAGCCAGAAGTGCGTCTTTCCTGTATTTGTGAATTCTCCAAAAAGTCACTGTGGATTTCACACACTGAATATTTTTGGATGGCCATCCAAAGCTGCTTGGCTTTTGCAATGTCCGGTAACCCCGATTCAAATGTGCGTGAGGATCGGGCGATAATTACGACCTGCTGACAATTTTGCAGTTTTTTTGGTCCATTTCAACCCCTAAATGGCGATCATCTCCAAAAAGAGTAGGCTTATATTCTGACCTTCATCTTATCCCCATGCAAAATTTCGTAAGGATCGGGCCATAAATGCGATCGGTATATGATATCCTGATATCCTAACTACTTAGTTTTGTTAGCTTTAGAAATATTACCAAATGTTTAATTCAAAATGAAAATATGCCAAAAATATGACAATATTGAAAAAATATGAGAAAAAGTTACAAAATCAATATTTTCATCTTTAGAGAGATATTTTTATGCGATTTCTTAGACGTTTTTTCTTTCCTGCCAAGAGGCCATTCTGAATTAATGAGAACTGTCGAAATCAGTTCAGCCGTTCTCGACATATATGAGATCTTTCAAGCATATCTTCTTTGATAGACATATATATTGCATGTATTTGCTATATATTCGATTTTTTGGATCTTAACATCAATGTAAAGATCAGAAGTAACCTTGTCATGGCTTTGTGATTTCGCGGGATTTAAATATTATGCGATGACCACCCAAATTGGTAGGCTTCTCCCCCGCCCTAAACTCTAGCTACATGCGAAATTCCGCGTCGATTGGTCTATAATTGCGACCTGTATAGCTACTGCAAAATCCGAAATTTTTTCAGTATTTGGTCCATTTCAACCCCTAAACATTTGGCGATCATCTCCAAAAGAAATAGGGTTCTATTCTGACCCTAGCCCCACCTCCATTCTAAATTTTGTGAAGATCGGGCCATAATTGCGACCTGTAGAGTGATTACAAATTAACATGGACAGACGGACAGACGGACGGACGGACATACATAGCTAGATCGACTCAGCTCGGCGAGATAGGAAGATCCATATATAGTTTCCTATGTGGGAAATCAATATTTCGTGGTGTTACATAATTTTTGGCCCAATCAAACTTATAATACCCCCAACACATAGTGTTGTAGGGTATAACTAAAGAAGCGAAGAATGGTTATAAAATTAGGTTCCTCGCTTCATTTCCAGCGCACAATGGCCACCAACATCTCCGGATACCAACTCCGTTGGACTATTGTGTCAGGAGTATTTTGGAAAGCAAGGTTGGCACTAAAAAATACCAAAGTGTCGATCAGCTCAAGCAAACGCTTCGCCAGGAATAGGCCAAAATACCGCAGAGCAACACTTGGGCAGCGTGTGACAATTTCTTTGGCCGTTTGAAGGCCATAATTCGTGCCAAAGGTGCTATTTCCGACATTTTTTGCTTTGATTCAATCAAATTAAAAGAAAAAATGTAAAAATTATGGCGTGTGACTTTGTTGCAGTTTTTTTATTTCACCCTGTATATACCTTATGGGGTCTACGACGAATATTTTGGGAATTTCAAAATTACAAGAAAATCGAACATTTATATCCAATTTTGTGTGAAATGATAAATTCCGATAAATTTCATATTCATATCAAATTTATGGTTGAGAGAAATATTTAGATATATAGCAAGTTGTAAAGAATAGCTTTTGTGTTTAAATTTGTTTCGTAAGTTATGACCGAGAATTGTGACCCTTTGTGGGTGAGGTACCAGAAGGGGTAGCCAGATATCTATCATCTTCACAACAGATCTTGCGTTAAAAAAAAAATGTTTGGATGAGTGACATTTGAGAGAGTTAATCCGTGTTTTATGAGCGGTTTGATTTTCCATCTTCACAGCAGATCTTGAGTTAGTAGAAATAGTGGGATGTGTGTAAAATGAAGAGGACCGGATGTTTATTTCGGGTTTTATAATCGTTTTGTTTATTCAAAACTTTTGGTTTAAGCCCGTTATTTCGATGAGGCACGTTTTGGCCTTATCAAATGAGATGTACCCTATGTAGCCATGTAGCTGAGGGTGTAAAAATAATAATAATAATAATAAATAATATAACTTTAATTTTTTTAAGGATTTCGAGGATATCCGTTTTTAAATGTTAAATATAAATGTATTAAGTATTTATTTAAGGGCGAATTAAGTCAGGTTCAAGTTCAAGTGTACCGAATTGCCTGCATTCAATATAATGCACCGTTCTCAAAGCAATAATCCCATATTCCAATTTTTTTGGCAGATGCCATATGACCAAAATAACCTTTGTAAAAATTCTCTAGATTTTCCTTCAAAAGAAGCCTATCCGTCTAATTTAAAACTTCGTGTGTCAGCTTCTTCTCCTTATCTACTCGCGAGAACCACAAATAAAACAAAGTCTAATGATTAGAACCTAACCTTTGATTTTTCGGCTTGGTGTAGTCTTTTACAGATCACAGAAATTTTAAAAAAATAACACACAAAATTGCATTTGACAACGTAACAACTACAACAAACGAGCTCATAAAGGAGCATAGCTTAGAATGAATGTTTTTTTTTTTATCAAAAAAACAAATTTTGACCTATGGCGATAACACCAACTTGGCCCGAGATTATAATTTGGCAATTAATCCACAAGCAGACAAATGCGCTTTAAGACTGTCGAAGGTGTAGCATTTTCAGTCAGTTGATTTTTTGCTGCTGTGCTCTAAGTTTGTTAAGAATTTTGCATTCCTGAACGCTTTGCTGCTATCATTATGTCGCGTTCTACATTTGCCGTCGTGATTGGTGTCGTGAGTGCAGTCTGGCATTTCATGGTTGCCGCATTATTGTTTATCATTGGCAATGTTTTCGATGAAGTTGTTGAGGAAGAGAATGCCTCGGAGGTGAAGGATGCAACCGTAGATCCTGAGAAATATGCTGCCATGAAGGAAATGATTAGTGGTAAGTTTGAAGACAATAATTTTGGGAAGAATTTTTTTAAATTGTATTTATATTTGATTTTGTGGTAGATTATGTTATGGGCTTCTTGTTCCTTGGTATCCTTGCCTGTATTTTTGAAATTATTGTTTCTATCCTGTTGGTTGTTGGGGTCAAGAAGGTGAGTGTTGATAAAGTTCTTGAATCGAAATAAATGCATTTTAGCAGATAGTCATTGAAAAAATCCATTATTCAATAGTCCTTATTCATAATCAATCGACTATCGACAATCGACTTTATATACATAGTGAGATAAAAAAAGCTGCAACAAAGTCAAATGCCATAATTTTAATTTTTTTATAAATTTTATTGAATGAAAGTAAAAAATGTCGGAAATAGTATCAAATTTTATAATAAGTTGAGTTTCTTCGAATTGGTCACCTTTGGCACGAATTATGGCCTCCCAATGGCCAATGAAACCGTCACACGATGCCCGAATGTTGCTCTGCGGTATTTTGCCCCATCACCGGCGAAGCGCTTGCTCAAGGTGATCGACACTTTGGTATTTTTTAGTGCCAACCTTGCTTTCCGAAATTCTCCAGACACAATAGTCCAACGGATTGGTATTCGGAGATTTTGGTGGCCATTGTGCGCTGGAAATGAATCGAGGAACCTCATTTTGTAACCATTCTTAGGTGACGCGTGCTGAGTGCGATGGTGCTGAGTCCTGTTGGAATGTTCAAGGTCTGCGGACTCTTTAATAAACCCTCCACAATATTTTCGCGATAATATTCGGCATTTATTCTGATGCCACGGTCGATTAATACGAGCGGAGCGGCTGTTATGTCTGCCCACACCATCACCATGGCCGGCGCTTGACTTCTGGTGCCCAACAGAAGGTGCACATTTTCAGCGGACCTCTTTGCCAAGTAAACACGATCATTTTGTTTGTTTACAAATTGCTGGACAACGAATGTTTTCTCATTGGAGAAAACCAAATTCGGCAGTTCACCACTTTCAGCCAGGCGAAGCAACTTTTTAGCTCCTTTGGGTGTATTTTCTTTATGCTGTGGCTTTATCCTGAGCTCAATTTTTAATGTTTGCCGAATATTGCTAATCAGCTCACGAGCCATTTTCGACCACTGCGATGCGGGTTTCGATCAAGTCGCTTCTTTACTTTTCGAACTATTTCTGCTGATGTTGCTCTATTCTTCCGTCCACTTCCTTGACGTCGGGCTACGCTACCGGTAACGGGCGATGGTACGAGACACAAAAGATTTATTCACATTTAAATGCTGAAGTGCTCTAACGATAGCCGCTTGTGGTTTCGCACTATCAGGCTTGAATTACATAACGAATAACTGTTTTTTGGAAAATTCTCACAAAAATGCTGTTGTACGCTGGCAAACAATATAATGAGCTGTCACTGGAATAATTTTAACAGATGTCCGACGAGTGGCACAGTCTGAAGTTAGTTGCAGTTTTTTCATCTCACCCTGTACATGCGATATCTAAAGTCTAAATATATTTGTGAGCACCTTAAAATACTCTATGAAAATGTGAAAAAGCTACTTTATATATGACTCCAACATGCTAACAAATATTACCTTCTCCATCCAGCAACGCCCTCACCTAGTTGCCCCCTGGGTTTATGTAACAGTTATTGCTCTGGTCCTGCAAATGGTGAACATTTTCGTTGATGCCGACGATAGCAAAGATAAAACTGAATTTTTGGAAATCATTTCTTGCGGTAAGTTAGAAAAAGTTTTCAATCTCTTTTGAAATTGACAAAATTCAATTTTTTGTCGTTTTAGTATTCTATGCTGCCATCTGGTATCCCATCTATCGTCTCTACAAGAAAATGGTTAGGGAACAAAAGACTGTCATGCCCCATACCGTCAGCAGTCCTGTGAATCCCCATTATGTTCCTTATGTTATGTCCGTATCGGATTCCAAGACAGTTCCTCTATCAGATTTTTCTCACAGCGCTAAATATGTTCATGCCGAAGCTAAAGTTGAGACCGTTGTTCCAGCCCAAACAATGTATCCTGAAATGCCCGCCGCTCCCGTTTATCCCACCAAAGTTTAAGCCGATTTGTTTCGTTTGGAATTGGGCATATTGTTTCAAGACAAAATGATAAAATAAAAATAATAAAAATGTGGGCAGATTAAAAAAATTATTTTATCTTCTTTATATTTAATTTGGCTATATTCAAATTGAGAATAAAAACAAATATTGTTTTTTATTTTTATTCTTTTATGAACATCATCAGAAACGTCTGTTGTAATTATGCTACAGTCAAAACGAATTAAGATAGGAAGCGCAGGCAGGTCAAGTTAGAAGATGGGCTATATCGGTCCACGATATCGTATAGCCTTCATACAACGGTACCCCCCGATATTTGGTTTTTTAAGATTATAACCACATTTTTCAATGAAATAGTCTGCAAATAAACACAAGGAGTTCCTTTTGAGTACTTTACCCCATGAAATAGATCTGGTTATATAATTCTAAGATTTCGAATAGCCCCTATGCAACAATAACCCCCGATATTCGGTATTTTGATAATTGTAGCCAAATTTTTTAATGAAATTTTTTGAAAATCCACAAAAGGATTTCCTTCTGAGTACTTTAAGACCAGGAAGATTATCTACATCTATAAAGAGGAAAATGTTTGTATGTTTGTTTGTAATTTATGGACTCGAAACCCGCTGAACAGATATTCCTGAAAATTTCCAAGTATACTACAAATCGCCTGAAAGTAACATAGACTATATAAATTTTTGAAATTTCAATTGGAACTGGAGATATAGGATCACAATCGGAGGTACCTCCAAAAATTTAGATTTTATATGCATATATCTATTAATCGATTACAGAAACAGTCTCCAAATTTGAAATGAGTAACGTTATTTGAAACAAAAAAATATTTGCCAAATTATTTGGAATGTGTGATGGAATTTGTCCAACAAATTTGTTTGCTAAAGTATATTCAAATCGGTTAAGATTTGGATATAGCTCCCATATATTTTCGCCGATTTTATATAATTGTGCACCCAACGCGATATGCATGTCCGATTCCAATGAAATTCGGAGGGAGAGACGAAAGAATTGGCAAATTATATTGAAATCGGTTGAGGTTTGGGTATAGCTCTCATATAAATATTTCGGCCGATTTCATGCGTGTTATGCACCAAACACGATATATATGTCGAATTCCAATGAAATTCAGAATATGTGGTTGAATTTGGTTACAATAATAAATTTGACAAATTAATTAGAAATCTGTTAAGATTTGGATATAGCTCCCATATATGTATGTTCCTGGCCGATTTGACATATTTGACGTACCAAATTCAATAAAAATATGCAAGGTCTGACGGAATTTGGTGTAAAAGTAAATTTTGTCAAATTATATTGAAATCGGTTCAGATTGGGATTGGGATTTATTAAGAAGCATTGGCCCAAAACGCCTTTGCAATGGTATTAGGCTAACAGTAAAAAACTACACAACAATTTAAATGAGGATACGACTACTACGGGGAAGTACGTTGCTACATCGAATTCTCTAAAAGCAGCAGAAATGCCATCTAACTTCAAAAGATTGCAATTTCTTGCACGCTTGGCATTTGCTATGAAATTAATAAATTCGAAGGACAAACCTTTCGTGTATGCGGCCTAAATTTGACATGTTCCTGCTTTTCTCATAGTCAACTGTTTCTGTCATTTTCACGCGTTGGTAGACCGAGCTATTTGTTTATTTACGCATTTATTTTGGGTCAGAAGAATTGGGCACACCTACTTCTTTAAATCTTTATGTATATAATTTAAAATAGTATAGTAATAGTATGAGAACAGCTTAGCCGATTTGTTTTAAATATTCTTTTTGTTATTTGTAATTACAGTGGAAACGTTTTCACGAAAGAAAATATTGAGAAAAGCCTCTAAAACAATCGCGGAACTGAAAAAATTGACTCTTCTATGTTGATACGAAATTGTTTATAGAATTGTTTAAGAATGCCTTTTGGAATCTAAAATTCTTATTGAAAAAAAAAAAAAAAACTAAAAAATTAGAAATTTTGCAAATTTTCTATACAATTAAATACAAGTAAGCAAAGGCTACAGTCGAGCGGGGCCGACCGTTGAATACCCTACAACACTATAATAAACCATACAGTTTATATAGGCGAGATACTCGAAAGAATTCCACAAGATATTGTGAGAAATAATAAAAGAAAACCATAATGTTTCGTTCTCTAATTTTCGAATAATAGCAACTTAAACGAATTTGCTCATTTCCAATTTATTGGTAGATGTTGCACGTAAATGGTATTCCTAGATCTGGAACCAACATTTCCCAAAGCCCTATAATCTCTCAGAAGTGGCAAAAGATTAACATTTATTATTAGTTTTTGACTGAAACGCATCTATATGAGATACAGACATTTGACTATATTCTTCAACGAAATCAGCGTTAACGAAATAGTCAGAAGTGCGTCTTTCCTGCATTTGTGAATTCTCCAAAAAGGCACTGGAATGGACATTTTCGTATTTAGTCTACAAAAGTTGGTAAACTATTTCACACATTGAATATTTTTGGATGGGCATCCGAAACTGCTTGGCTTTTGCAATGTGCGGTAACCCCCATTCAAATGTGCGTGAGGATCGGGCGATAATTACGACCTGCTGACAATTTTGCAGTTTTTTGGTCCATTTCAACCCCTAAATACATAACGATCATCTCCAAAAAGAGTAGACATCTATTCTGACCCTCATCTTATCCCCATGCGAAATTTCGTAATTATCGGGCCATAAATGCGATCTGTATATGATATCTTGATATCCTAACTACTTAGTTTTGTTAGCTGTAGAAATATTACCAAATGTTTAATTCAAAATGGAAATATGCCAAAAATATGACAAAATTGAAAAAATATGAGAAAATGTGACAAAACCAATGTTTTCATCTTTGGAGAGATATTTTTATGCGATTTTTTTAGACGTTTTTTGTTTCCTACCAAGAGGCCATTCTGAATTAATGAGAACTGTCGAAATCAGTTCAGCCGTTCTCGACATATAAGAGATCTTTCAAGCATATCTTCTTTGATAGACATATATATCGCACATATTTTGCTATATATCCGATTTGTTGGATGTTAACATCAATGTAAAGATCAGAAGTAACTGTGTCATGGCTTCGTGATTTCGCCGGGATTAAAATATTCGCGGTTTAATGAAAAATTTTAAATTTTTTCAACACAAAAGATATGGTCTATTTTACCCGCTAAATATTATCCGATGACCACCCAAATTGGTAGGCCCTACAGTCTAGCTACATGCGAAATTCCGTGTCGATTGGTCTATAATTGCGACCTGTATAGCCACTGCAAAATCTGATATTTTTTCAGTATTTGGTCCATTTCAACCCCTAAACATTTTGCGATCATCTCCAAAAGAAATAGGAAATAGGCTTCTATTCTGACCCTGTAGAGTGATTACAAATTAACATGGACAGACGGACAGACGGACAGACGGACGGGCGGACATACATAGCTAGATCGACTCAGCTCGGCGAGCTAGGAAGATCCATATATACTTTCCTATATGGGAAACCAATATTTCGAGGTGTTACATAAATTCTGGCCCAATCAAACTTATAATACCCCCAACACATAGTGTTGTAGGGTATAACAAGAAAGCAAAGGCTATAGTCGTGCGGGGCCGACCATGTGATACCCTACAACACTACAATATGTGAGAAGCCCCCTCATCTCCAAATCCATTTAGGAAGATTTCGCTTTTGAAATTATGTCACGGAGCACTGCCCAGATATTACCCTTAGCATTTGACCAAGGACATTTTCCCGATATTTATGCACTCCGTCGTGCTATTAGTTTTTGTGGTCCATTTTACTGCTAAATATAATCCAATGGTTATCCAAAATGCTAGAATTCTTCACTGTGCTTTACTATCTTCTCAGGCGTGTCGATTGGCTTCAACTGTGTGATCACGATTTTTTTCTGTTTTTGGTTCATTTGGACCCATAAATATTTTGCGATCATCTCCAAGGGAAATTTGGTTATATTTGTCAACGAAATCAGCATAAAAAAGCTAGAAGTTCGCCTATTGTGTATTTCGGATATCGCATGTAAGTAATGTTGGTATTTTTTTCACACAAAAGTAGTGGTCCATTCTACCCGATGTCTGAAATTCTAACTTCATGCAAGATTTCGTGTCCTTTGGTTTCTATTTGTGACCTTTATAACGGCTGCAAAATCATAAACATAAATATATTGCGGACATCTTTGAAGCCCTTCTGAGCCTAACCCTACCTTTGTCAAAAATTTCGTAAATAATAACCCCAACCTGTGTTGTTAAGTGCAAAAATATTACAAAATATACACTTCAATATTATAAGTCAAATTGAAAAAATCGCATGCGATAAAAAAATGTCACAAAATACTACAAAATCTATATTAACATCATTATTGGTATATTTTTATGCGATTTTTTGGATTTTATACTTTTATGCCAAAAGGGCATTCTAAATTTACAAAATTTGTCAAAATCGCTCCAGCCATTCTGGAGATATAAGCATTCTAGCTAACATCCCCTTCCTTTGTATATATACATTGTATATATTTCGCTATATATCCGATATTTTTACTATCGGCATCTGCGTAACGGTCAGAATTGACCTGTTCGTCTATTTCAACCACTATATGTTACCCGCTGAAAAATTGGAATGTTTCTGCCCAGCCCAAAGCTTTAGCCCCATGCTAACTTTCGCTTCGATTGGTCTATAATTGTGACCTGTAGAGCAACTGCAAAGTCAGGAAATTTTTCAGTTTTTGGTCCATTTCAACCCCTAAATATTATGCGATCATCTCCAAAAGAATAGGGTTCTATTCTGACATTATCCCCACCTACATTTTAAATTTCGTGAAGATCGGGTCATAATTGCGACCTGTAGAGTGATTACAAATTAACATGGACAGACGGACGGACGGACGGACATACATAGCTAGATCGACTCAGCTCGGCGAGATAGGAAGATCCATATATACTTTCCTATGTGGGAAATCAATATTTCGTGGTGTTACATAATTTTTGGCCCAATCAAACTTATAATACTCCCAACACAAAGTGTTGTAGGGTATAAATACTTCTTAATGAATCAAAGCGTCTAAAATCTCATCTTTTAAATTTAGGCTATGCCTAATGGGGAACAAAAAGTAAACAGTTATTACCGGTTTTGATTTCACAATACTAAAAACTTTAATGCCAAATGCAGTTCATTCGATTGAAATTATAACAAAAGCATGCAAAAGGACTCATGTTTAGTGGCATACCTAAACGAAACGAATATATTCCAACTTCCTAGGAATATTGTATAAAAGTTCAAAGATTAACCTAAATATTTCGTCTTTATTGAGATTTCAACGAGCGGTCGCATACACAGACGGCCACATAGATTATTTGACATAGAATTTTACACTAGTCAAAACTAAATACCTTTCAATATGGTCTTCTAAAAGTTACAAATTCAAAATTACTTTTGATTGTTAAAATGTTGCTAAGACCTTTATAATACTGACAATTGAAGTGTGAACATTTAATTAAATACCATTATATAACGAATACAAAGAGCTACTGGTGAATAGGAAATAAATCATAAAGTGTATTAAAGCACATTTGGTCAAAGAGTATTAGGAGATAATATTATATAAGAGCTAAGTGAGAACAAATATATACCTTTTGTAACATCAATCACCCCAACAATAATATATGAAAGATGCATATTAAATTTGGTGACCTCTATCGTAGCTGTAAATAGTGAACGGAGAGGCCCACGGACATATTTCATAGACAAAGATTTATAACATACTTTATGGGGTCTATAACTTTTACAAACGGATGACACCTTATTTGTGAGGGTTAAATTAAAGTCATGTTGCCAGGATTTCAATTTAGAAATGTTGAGGTCGAAAACTCAAAAAAATTGGAAACATATATACAAATGTATATGTAAAATGTCCTTCATTCACCATAAATATTGTCCACTCCAAATAAATGAGTTGAGAAGAATGCAACAATAACTCACAAAACAAGGAAAACATCAATAATCATGAACACCACCAAATTTGTGGATTGACGATAGTTGCAAGTCAAAGTTTTTATCAAAGCTTAGGCTTTTTTAATTAGAAATGTTAACCGTTTACAACTTATATTAGGTTCTTAAAAATATGCATTACTCGCTAATACTATGGGCCAGCAACGCGGTCCGGGATAGCTTGTTCATATATAAAATTTTGATCTGCCCTGCCCCTGTTTCGATGCTTTTAACTTCAACGGACTTTGCATGTTTTATAAGTTTGGTGATCGTCTTATTAGGAAATCGTTCATCTTCAGGATTTTTTCTGACGTCATGTTCATTCTTGAAATCGAATTTGCTATTGCTGATATTGAAGACTCTTCGTATGAAGTTTGTTGCTGTATTTATTTTTCTCCTTCGATGATGTTTTGAAAGATATTTAGTTAACACTGAAAACCCACCTCTTAGGCGGTATTTTTTGTGCCCAATAACATCTTTAGTGTTTTATCTGGTCCCTTTAAATGTTTTCCATCTATGGATATATTTTTGTCTACCGAAGTTCTTTGAATGGCTTCTGTATATAAGAGATATTCGACATCTGTACATAGGACACCTGCAATATACAGGTGAGGTGAAAAAACTGCAACCATTTTCAGACTGCTGTCACTCCTAAGAAACTCGTCCGATATCTGTTAAAATTATTCAGCCCATTATATTGTTTACAAGCGTACAAAAGCATTTTGGTGAGAATTTTCCAGAAAAAAAGGTATTTTTTCCAGAAAAAAAGGTATTTGTGATGTGGCTATCGTTAGAACATTAGCATTTAAATATAAACAAATATTTTGTGTCTTGTACCACCGCTCGTTACCGTGATACTGGTAGCGTAGCCCGACGTCAAGGAAGTGGACGGAGGATACAGCAACATCAGCAACATCATCATATCGCAATATTCCTTTCGGTAAATATTAAAAAATGAGTTCTGGTTAAAGCCATTGAAATTCCAAAAAGTTCAAGAACTTACACCGCAACAGAAAGAAAGTAGACTCAAAAGAGCTAAAGAGTTGCTTCGCTTGGCCGAAAGTAGTAAACTGTCGAATTTGGTTTCCTCCGATGAGAAAACAATCGTTGTCCAGCAGTTTATAAACAATCAAAATGGTCGTGTTTACTCGTCAAAGAGGTCAGTTGAAAACGTACACCTTCGGTTGGCCACCAGAACTCAAGCGTCGGCCATGGTGAATGTGTGGGCCGCCATAACAGTCGATGGTCGCTCTTCGCTCGTATTAATTGACCGTGGCATCAGAATAAATGCCGAATTATCGGAGGGTGTATTAAAGCTTTGGGCACGCAAACATGGTTACAAAATGACGTTCCTCGCTTAATTTCCAGCGCACAATAGCCACCAAAATCTCCGAATACCAATCCGTTGGACTATTGTGTCTGGAGTATTTCGGAAAGTAAGGTTGGCACTAAAAAAATACCAAAGTGTTGATCACCTCAAGCAAGCGCTTCTTCGGAACAACATTCGGGCAGCGTGTTTCGGTTTGAATGGCCGGGGATAATTCGTGCCAAAGGTGACCAATTCGCACAAATCTAAACTTATTCTAAAATTTGATGCTATTTCCGACATTTTTTTCTTTCATTCAATAAAATTAAAAAAAGAAATAAAAATGGCGTTTGACTTTGTTGCAGACTTTTTTATCTCTCCTTTTATTTGGGAACTTAAAATCCTCTTTAGGTTTTCTGAACACAAAATACCTTCTCTAGGTTTTTCAGTTATGGAATAGCCAATACACTTCGGCTTTGCCGAGTGTTATATTAGTTTACTTGCTGTTTTTGTTGTTGCCTTTATTTTGTATCTTCGTAATGAGGTTAACATTTCATTCATTGTTCTGAGTATGGCGTCATTTTGTTCGGTACTGTCGCATAACGTGGAGGTTGAAATCTGTGCTCATTCTCAGCTCAGTATTTCTCTTTTGATTCTCTCTCGCACTCCATATTCTCCCTAGCCAAGTGAGAGTATTAATCATTATTGCTTTGCGAAAATTGTGTGTGTACGTGCGTGCGTAAGGCAACCTGTCGCATGGCTCCCCTCCTAACAGGCAAAAGACGATTCCTTTTTGGAGTTGTGTTTGGAATTGAGAGAACGAGTTTAGTTTGTATTCGACCGCCGCCTTTTGCGTTACTTTGTGATTTTTAGCAAAACGCTGTAGAATTTTGCCGGTATTTCTTTTTCTTTGGTTGCCTTGCAACCACAGTTGTATTTTGACAAAGAATAGTATCCAGTGCGGGTTTTGTTGTTGAAATTGTTGCTTTTTTGCGTGGTGTGTTGTTCGAGGACAGTGAATATTGTTGCAATCATAATGGCCAACTCCACATTGTGTGCCATAATTGGCTGGGGAAGTGCAGTGCTGACATTTATTGGCACCATATATTCCTGCGTTCTGCTGGCAATCGATATTGACAGATATCAACATGAAAGGGAAAATCCGGATGGAACCCTTTACTTTGTTAGTGGTGAGTTAGTGAAATCCTCAAAATTCTCCAGAAATTTTAATCCTTTTTTATTGTCGCCCAGATTTTGATTTGACAGAAGTTATTATTGCTGTGGTGGCCTTTGCGGCCATGTTTATAGCTTCCGTTTTATTAATAATTGGTCTGCGAAAGGTGGGTATTGCACGGCAAAGAAAAAAAGGTCAGCGTGGTATTCATAGTATCTCCTCTTCTCTTCCTCTACACCAACAGAAACGTCATCAGTACATAGCCATTTGGATTGGTGTCACCGCTGTATGTATTGTCCTGAATTTGTTGCGTTTGATACGAAGTCAACGTTCAATGGCTCAAAATCTTTTGACTGTGGGTAAGTGTGTGTTCGGAGTGTATGTGTGTGATTCTTCTAGAAAAACATTGAAATTTTATAAAATATTCAAAACTTTATTTAAACGCAATATTTGGGTGTGAAGGAAGATAAAATGAAGAAATTAGCAACAGAATATTGAACAAGCAAGGCAGAAGGTTGTTTGGTCAACGGTGTTTTTGAACAAACACAGGCAGGCGTACACCTACACATGTACACGTGCTAGGAAATACAATACGAAACTGAAATGATTTTAGTAGTTGCTGTTGGTTATCGAAGGTTTGGTTTGGTAGAACTCCAACCCGGCAGTGTTATGGTATTATTCATTTTGTATCGCCTTGTTTGTATTAAACGTTGAGTAGGAGAATAGATAATGGAACTGCATTTTAATTTCTAAATTTTTAAATGGGTTTCAATTCCTTTTCTCGAAAATTGTCGATTCATTCCATGTTTAAATATTGTACCCTTATAACGGTACCACCCGAAAATCACTATTTGGAAAGATCTTTTTCAACCTAACTAGCTGTAATATAGCCATTTACAAGATTGTTTTTGCAAATTTAAATCCTAATGGGTTCATAAACTAACTAAATATTTTATAACTAATTAATTTATTTTTCGACCTTTTTCCAATTTTTTTTTAAATAAACTTTAGGTTAATATTGTTATTTAACCCAATATACTTCGAAATTTCCAAATTGAATATACCTTAATAGAATGAGATACAGTAGCTGAGATAAATTAATTAACATAGCAGTGGAACATACAAAAAAGAAAAAAGGTGTAAGTTCGGCCGGGTCATTTGGAACGATTTTGACAATTTTCAAAAAAATAAAATCCGTTAAAAATTCTGTTAAAATCTTAAAAATACCGAATGTAGCCATTATATTAGTGTCTATACGACGACGTGGTCCTTCATAGGCAACTTTTGTCATGAGCCATTACAATATTCAAATGCGAAACTTTAAAAAATCGGTGAATTTTCTGTCATAGGCTGTATTATCCATAACGAAAGTCAAATACCAAATTTGAAACAATTCCGGTGAATAATGGCGCTAAAATTGTCTAAGTACCGAATATCGGGAGGTACCGTTATATAGGTGCTATACGAAGACGTAGACCTGCACAGACTATTTTCTGTCTCAGGCTGTAGTATCCATTACGAACTTCAAATACCAAATTTGAAACAATTCCGGTGAATAATGTCGTTAAATTGTCAAAATACCGAATATCGGGAGGTACTATACTATATATTAATACTATATTGGGTCTATACGACGTGGACCAGCGCAGACAATTTTCTGTCTTTGGCTGTTGTATCCATTACGATATACCAAAACGGGGACCTCCATGGTCCATTTTCAATACCAAAAGTCCTGCAGACATACATTTGATATACATTTGAGTAAAATTTTATCAACCAACTTCATTCATTCCGAAGCTAGAGTGATTTCCATAGACGGACAGACGGACGGACGTCGCTAAATCGACATAGAATTTTTGCTGATCAAGAATATATATACTTTGTGGGGTATAAAGTGTATATTTGGAGATTTTACAAACGGAATGACAAACTTAATATACCCTCCATACTATGGTGGAGGGCATGGCTTGGGAGCATTGATGTGTCAAAAAAAATTAAATATTTTTTCAAATATAAGTAGATATTTAAGTTTTCTTATATTACGTCATTCGGAGGCTATTATAATTCGCGTTTTCAACAATTTTTACAAATTTAAATAATTTTCCATTCAACATTTTCAATTCCAAAATTGGTTTGACAGTTCATTGTCCCAGCAGCTGTGTCGACGCGTCTACCTATATTCTTCTACCATGGGTGGAGGGTATAAAAATACGTTCTAACATTAAATTCTAACAGGGCAAATGATAAGGGAATGAATGGCATATTGTCATATATGATGGCTTATAAAGGCAAAAAGTCAATGCAGGGAATTCGCTGCAATTTAGAACTAAGATACATAAATTGATTATTTGACTATTTCACTTTTGATTTAGGTCTATCGATCATAGAAGACAAGTTGGATAGAATTAGCGTTCGAACATAAATAGTATGGTACCGTACCGTAGTGTTCAGTACCGTTCCGAGGTGGAGTGGCGAACGAAGATAATGCACCGTACCGGAGCACAACCATTAAAAAATATTTTAGTGATACTGTACCGGAGCACAACTAGAATCGTACTGTACCGCTGTCGGAGCACTACAAAACGTAGTGTACCGCAGTCGGAGCATACGAAATCGTAGTGTTCCGCAGCCGGAGCCTACAAAATCGTAGTGTACCACATGGCGGAACATATAAAAAAAATTTACCGGTAGTGTACCACATGTGTGTTGTTTACAACTTGTGAGAAAAATTAGATTTTGGATGTTTTTGATCATGCAAAAAATTTCTAATACAATTCAATATTATGAAATAAAAGTTTATTTTTGTCATGTATGTTTAGATTAGTTGCGAAATTGAAGATAGTAGAAAACCAGTAAAGAAAGTCTTAAAGTCGGGCGGGGCCGACTTTATGGTACCCTACACCACTTTGCTAATTAAGTAGAGCTCCACATAACAATTAAAAGTTTTTATGGGAGAATTCAATCATACACGCTATTATATTATAATTATAATTTAAAGTTCAAAGGACTAAATATTCCGAAGCATTTGTATCTTTTAAATTCGGAATTGTATTGCCCATTTGGTGTAAAATTAATTTGAAATCGGATAAATATATATATATATATATATATATATATATATATATATATATATATATATATATATATATATATATATATATATATATATATATATATATATATATATATATATGGGAGCTATATCCAAATCTGAACCGATCTCGATAAAATTTGGCAAAGATATTTCTGAGCTGTATTTGATATATTTCCCTGAAAGTCGTTGTTACGGAGTGCATATTACGGTTGTGGGTAACAAATATAACAAATCGGATGAATAATATATATGGAAGCTATAGCTATATCTGAACCGATCTTCACCAAATTTGGTGATAAGTGCCAAATTACATCCCATTTGGAAAAATATTAGACGTTTGGTGCACAATATAAGGTAAATCGGACGAAGTTATATATGGAAGCTATATCCAAATCTGAACCGATCTCGATAAAATTTAGCAAATGTATTTCTGAGCTGTATTTGATATATTTCCCCAAATATTGTTGTTGCATAGTGCATATTACGGCGGCGGTGGACAAAAATAACAAATCGGATGAACAATATATATGGGAGCTATAGCTATATCTGAACCGATTTCGATCAAATTTGGCATACATATTTTCAGGCCTAATTTGGATGTATATGCAAAATTCCATACAATTCGGGCTGGTATTACACGTTTGGTGCACAATAAAAGGCAAATCAGACGAAGATATATATGGGAGCTATATCTAAATTTTGACCGATTATCTCCAATTTCAATAGGGTTCGTCCTTGGGCCAAACAAAAGATCTTTGCAAAATTTCATCTGGATCGGGCAATAAATGCGTCCTGTACTTTGTTTACAAAAATACATGGACAGACGGACGGACGGACATGCATAAATCGACTCAGAATGTGATTCTATGCAGATCATCAAAAGGAGCTATGGGTCTATCTCGTTTCCTTTTGCCTGTTACAAACAAATGCACAAAGACATAATACCCTGACCACCTTGTGGTGTAGGGTATAAAAAATGACCAAAAACCATTGAAAATTGAAATTTTTAATTTTCCGCGAAAAAGGGTATTTTAGTCGTTGCGTTGTAATGGGTTATTCTGCAGATACTTTACTTGCTATTTTGTGGTATCGAGAAATCAATGAATGTACGCGTAAAAAAAATTAATATTTTACAAAATATGGCAATTGTATGATTTCGATTTTTTTTAATGTGGCACATGTGGTACACTGCGATTTTTTAATGCTCCGACTGCGGTACACTACGATCATTGTTGTGTTCCGGTACAGTATCACTAAAATATTTTTTAGTGGTAGTGTATCGGTACACAACCGCTAAATTGTTTTTAGTGATACTGTACCGGTACTGTACACTATGTTTATGTACTGTCTATTTTCGAACGCTGGATAGAATACAGGAATTCACAAATATAACACATTGTATTTTTTAATATTTTAAAGTTCTGCGTTAACAACAATAGATATATTAAATACGATGATAAAGTATACAAACAGAAGAAAAGGACTACGAATCGTGTCTTCTCCATGCGATGAAACTACTTGACACGGTTACAGAGAAGCTACTTGACGCCTGTCAGGAACAAATTGCGAAGAAGAATATGGATGATTTTTTTTTTAATTTTTAAGGGTAGGGTAGGTTAAATCAAAAGTTGATACTATGACGATAATTAAGAAATTGAATAACAATATGAAGTTCACAATAGAAGAGCGATTTGATACCATAGCTTGACATCCTTATAACACAGAGTAATGGGAAATTGAAAGTTTCCACTCTAAGCACCCCAGAATCAACACAGGACGAAACTTTGTAAACATTAAATATAAGTGATTAAAAATTTTATGACAATAGCAAAAAGAAACCAGTAAGGAAAAGTCGAAATTCGTGTGGGCCAACTATTTGATACCCTACACCACTATGCATATTCAGTAGAATTTATTTGAAGTTGATCATACCACCTATCAACTTTTGGTACCAAATATTGTTGTGGGGGACTTAAAGACCAAATCTGATGAAACATATATATGGGAGCAATAGTTATATCTGAAGCGATTTCCACCAAATTTAATATACTTGCTTCTAGACTGGATTCGGTTGGATGTGCCAAAATTTAGGTCATTTGGCCATTGGTGATATTGGCCATTTGGTGCACAATTAACCCGAAATCGGTTGAAGATAAAAATGGGAGCTATATTTAAATTTAAACCGAATCTCAACTAATTTGCTTGCGCCAAACGAATATTGTTTGGAAAATTTCATCTCAATTGGATAATAAATGCGACCTGCATTTTTGTTCACAAAAATACATGGTCAGACTGACGGATGGACAGACTGACTTACATGCATAAATTGACTCAGAAAGTGATTCTATGAAAATTCCCAAAAAGTAACTATGGGTCCATCTCGCTTCCTTCTCCATGTTACAAACAAATGCACAAAGACATTATACCCTTACCACTATGTGGTGCAAAGTATAATAATAAAGGACGAATAACCAAAAATGAATTCCTAAAATAGTTAATTGAAATTTTACTATCTATTAGCTGGCCCGGTCCGCGTTGCTGGTCCCAATGCTTATTGTTCAATGCCGATTTATTTTTTAGAAAATTATAATCTTCAAATTAAATTGAATTGTCTTAGCCATAAAAATTGCAACCTTATGCTTCTTTCTTTTGCTAAGAAATATCGATTTTCAGCAGCAGGTGCCAGTTTTCATGATTTAGGTTTGTTGATGCTTTTCTTGTTTAGTTGATTATTGCTGTAGTCTTTTGACATCTCAAACAATTTCGGTGGGTATTGTACCTAAACGTTTACCTAATACCAAATATAGGGAGATACTGATATATGGGGCCATACGAAAACCTGGACCTGCATAGAAAATTTTCTATCACAGACTGTAGTTCCCACCACGAACTCTAAATACGTAATTTGAAACAATTACGATGAATAATAAAGCTATATGGGGACTATATAAAAATGATTCGAAAATTAAGGAAGCGAATTCATCGAAACCCGCGTCGCAGTGGCCAAAAAATGGCTCGTGAGCTGAACATATCGCAATATTCCATTCGTCAAATTTTAAAAGACAATATTGAGGTCGGGAGAAAGCCATTGAAATTCCAAAAAGTGCAAGAACATAAACAGCAAGAGAAAGGAAAGAGCTAAAGAGTTGCTTCACATGGCCGAATTTGGTTTTCTGCGATGAGAAAACATTAGTTCTACAATTTTGCACAGATCAGTCTTTTGTCTGCAGAGAGGTCAAGATGATGGGCTATATCGGTCCACGATATCGTATGGAGAGACACTATGGAGAGACACAGCCTTCATGGCTATATCGGTCCACGATATCGTATGGAGAGACACTATGGAGAGACACAGTCTTCAGCTGGTCTATGGAGAGACACAGCCTTCAGGGCTATATCGGTCCACGATATCGATATTTTTCAATGGATGTGGGTAAAATCATGAAAATACCGAATATCGGGGGGTACCGTTGTATGGGGGCTATAGGATATCGTGGACCGATGTAGCCCATCATCTTGACCTCTCTGCAGACAAAACACTGATCTGTGCAAAATTGTAGTTGCCCATCTCAATTCGTTTTGACTTATTATTGATCAGCGTAAAATTCTAGGCCGATCCGTTATTCCGTCTTTCCGTCTGTTGTAATTACGCTACGGTCAAAACGAATTAAAATAGGAAGCTAAAATCCTGTACATATCTGTCTTTTGTCTGCATGTAGGCCAAGTTTGAAGAAGGGCTATATCGATCCACGATATCGTATAGACCCCACATAACGGTAGCCCAATATTCGGTATTTTGATGATTCTAGCCAAAATTGTTAATAAAACCCACAAAAAGAGTTCCTTCCCAGTACTTTACTCACTGTAAGAGTATTGTTTATATAAGTACACGATATCGTACATTCCCAATATAACGGTAACTCCTTATGCTCGGCATTTTCAATGGAATTGTCTAAAAATCCATATTAGAAGTTCTTTCTAAGCACTTCCCTCTGGTAGAGAAATGTCCATATAGGTCACCGATATCGTATAGTCCACATACAACATTCCAGTTGTTTCAAATTTCGTATTTATTGTTGTGTTCCTTATGGAGCTACAGTCTATGACACAAAATTGTCTATGCAGGTCCAGATCGTCCGATCCTCACGAAATTTTGCACGAGGGTAGGGTTAGGGTCAGAATTAAAGCTTATTGTTCTTAAGATGTACATTTAGAGATGCAAATGGACTAAAAAAATTATTTGTTTCTATTCATAGGCCACAATTAAAAACTAATCCACACGGAATTTCGCATCAGAAGAGAGTTAGGGATAGGGAAGAAGACATTTTGGATGACCATTGGATTATATTTAGCTGTAAAATGGACAACAACTTTCGTGTGAAATTGTTTTGAATACTTACCAACACTACGGAGTGCGTAAATATTGCCCAAATTCTCCGGGTCAAAAAACTAAGGGTAACCTCTGGGCGGGGCTCTTTGACATTATTTCAAAAATGAAATCTTCCAAAATGGATTTGGATATAAGGGGACTTCGAACATATTGTAGTGTTGTAGGGTATCACATGGTCGGTCTCGTACGACTATAGCCTTTGCTTACTTGTTTTTTTTTCTAGTTTTGTATTTGAATATTGTAATTGCTTATGACAAAAGTTGTCTATACAGGTCCACGTCTTCGTATAGACCCCATTTAACGACTATATTCCGTATTTCTAAGATTTTAACAAATTTTTTTAATGGATTTTATTTTTATTTAATTTTTTTTTTTTTCAATTCAAGGTTTGGTCCGCCCGAACTTACTGTTTTTATATTTGTTTAATGTAATACTTATCAAAGTCACATTATGCACTCTATAGTAATAGTTGTGTTCCAGAACCTGCAAATTAGTACTAATTAGCACTAATTCTGCAACAACGCGTTCCCGTACTTCAAAAACTAGCAAAACTTGCAGCTCTCTCGAGAAAAAAATGGCGCTGAGTGGTGCACATTTCTGCTTGTTTTAGCTACATGAATTTGGCTGAGCAGAAATGTGCATATTGTAAATTTGACATTTAATTGGCAGGGCTAACAAGGTTGAAACATGTATTGATACATTTCAATAAAGAAAATTATCAACTTGAAAACTAAAGGAAAAACTAATATTTGTCGTGCAAAAAACAAAAAGAGAAAATATGGAGCAACTGATGTATTCACTTTTGGATGATTCCAGCAGTGAAGAGGACTGGCTGAATGAGGAATCAGATTATTAATTATTATTATAAATTATTAATTTTAACTTATCGTCTTCAATACTCATTTTTTAAATGTTGGCGCTCTTTTCAGTAAGGTTTCACCAGTCCGATTTAGGCTGTTTACTTTTGGAATTTTGAATTTTGACATTTTATCGCATTTCTGCTAATTTTCCGTTCCCTTATTTTTTGAGCAAACCTAAATGAGAATGACATTTCGAACTGTTCTCTATTCTGCTAGTTTTACTACTAAAAAAGTACTGGAACACAACTAATGTTATTTGGTACGATAGATACAAATGCCTCCTTCGAATTTCTACTGATTCAAAATCTGATATACCTGACATATATTAGTTTCCTCTGGTTCCAAAATATAACAGCTCTAAACAAATAATACGCATTCACAAAAGGTTCACATAGTGGTGTAGGGGATCATAAAGTCGGCCCAACCGACGTTTGACCTTTTTTTACTGGTTTATATACAGGTTAATGTACACTATAATTGCTGTGTTCCAGAACCTAGAGAATGTAAAACTTTTTACTACGATAACCGATTCTTCCTTCACGATATCGAAAAAAATACAAGACTCGTTGATTCTTGCAGATGCTGGGACTTTTCTGGAACAGAGAAAATATAAAGTTTTTACTTTTTAGTTAAAAAACTGTGATTGGTTCTAAAAGTATGATAAAATAACAATTTTTTCGATTTTATCTTCTCTTCTAGGCATACAAGTCTGCTTATGGTATCCCATTGTTAGCTACTACCGAGATATGCGTAAAGATTTAGTTCCCACCACAGCTGAGGAGGATCCCCTGGACTTTACATCAACATCAAAAATTCAACAAAATAACGTTGATAAGCAAAATCCTGCCGTACAGCCGCTATATCCCAAGATACCAGGCGCAGAGCAAAATGCTGCCGTTCCATTGGAGAGAACCAAGTTAACGGGCGAGGAGAAACCCACAAATACAACTTATCCAACATTACCAAAGGAGTGAAAGGAAATAGCAAAAATTTTATAAGACTATTTATATTCAAAAACCAAAGTGAAAAAAAATTAAATAAATATGATAATCAATGTAAAAGTAATAACAAACCTACATATATATTCTAAAATGCCTTGAAGTATATATCTATAATATTTATACGTTTTTTATAATTTTCTAAAATCAAGTAGTTGTATTAAATCTGAAGAATGTATCTATTTAAGTTAGTTGCTATTTAGTTTTTTTTTGTAAGAAATTCAAGAAGTACCTTATTTGAAATGTGCTAAAATTGTTTTTTTTTTTTCAAACGAATTTCAAGAAAAAATATTTAGTTTTAATTTTTACGACATAAGTATTTGTGCATTTAATAAATAAATATGTTTAACAAAATACACACATTTTAACAAAAATTTGTTAAGAATCGTTTAAATCTAAAAGAATTGTGAGGTTTGTAGAAAATATGTTAGTTGAGTAAAGAAATTTTCACTTGTACTTCGGCCAAACGTTACACGTGTGAATATGGCACGCCCGATTTGCCTTTAATTGTGCACCAAATTTGTAATATTAGTCCAAATAGGATGGAATTTGGCACATATAACCGAAATAAGCCTAAAAACATGTGTGCGTGTTTGTGAAAATCGGTTACGATGTACAGTGTGAGATAAAAAAACTGCAACAAAGTCAAACGACATTTTTTTTTAATTTTATTGAATGAGAGTAAAATGGTCGGAAATAGCATCAAATTTTAAAATAAGTTTAGATTTGTTCGAATTGTTCACCTTTGTCACGAATTATGGCCTTCAAACGGCCAATGAAACCGTCACACGCGGCCCAAATGTTGCTCTGTAGTATTTTGGTCCATTCCGGGCGAAGCGCTTGCTTGAGGTGATCGACACTTTAGTATTTTTTAGTGCCAATCTTGCTTTCCAAAATACTCCAGACACAATAGTCCAACGGATTGGTATCCTGAGATTTTGGTGGTCATTGTGCACTGGAAATGTAGCGAGGAACCTCATTCTGTAACCATTTTGGATGGCGCCTACTGAGTGCGATGGTGTTGAGTCCTGTTGGAATGTCCAAGATCTGTGGCCAAAATGTTCGCGAGCCCAATACTTTAATACACCCTCCATAATATTTTCGTGATAATATTCGGCATTTATTCTGATGCCATCGGCTGTCATGGCGGCCCACACCATCAGCATGGCCGGCGCTTGAGTTCTGGTGGCCAACCGAAGGTGTACATTCTCAGCAGAAGGTGCACATTCTCTTTGACAAGTAAACACGATCTTTTTGTTTGTTTACAAACAGCTGGACAACGAATGTTTTCTCATCGGAGAAAACCAAATTCGGCAGTTCACAACTTTCGGAATCTCAATGGCTTTACCCCGTGCCCATTTTTCAATATTTACCGAATCGAATATTGTGATATGTTCAGCTCACGAGCAATTTTTCGGCCACTACGATGCAGGTTTCGATCAAGTCCTTTTTTAACTTTTCGACGCTGTTGTCTGTCGTCTACTTCCTTGACGCCGGGCTAAGCTACTAGTATCACGGTAACGAGCGATGGTACGAGACACAAAAGATTTATTTACATTTAAATGCTGGAGTGCTCTAACGATAGCCACTTGTGGTTTACCAGCCATATATAAAGGAATCACACTATCACGCTTGAATTCCATCACGAATAAATTTGTTTCTAGAAAATTCTCACCAAAATGTTTTGTAGGCTTGTAGAAAATAATTTTAACAGCTGTCGGAAGTGTGGCTTAGAAATGACAGCAGTCTGAAGTTGGTTGCAGTTTTTTCATCTTACCCTGTATTTGTAGCGTCTTTCACTTTGTGCCACATTTTATTCATAGTCATAAAGTTGTAATACATTTCATTGGGAGGTAACCAAAGTAGGGTGGGAAAGTCCGGTTCATCTTACATTTTTATACCCTACACCACAATGCGGTCAGCGTATTATGTCTTTGTGCATTTGTTTGTAACATAGAGAAGGAAGCGAGTAGACCCATAGTTCATTCATTCTGAGTCGATTTATGCATGTCCGTACGTATTTCCATGTATTTTTCAAACAAAGTACAGGTTGCATTAATTGTCCGATCAAGATGAAACTTTGCACAAAATATTTGTCTGGTCCAAGGACGATCCCTATTGAAATTGGAGATAATCGGTCAAAATTAAGATATAGCTCCCATATATATATTTTTTATTCGATTTGGTGTTAAAGTCGCTCACATTTGTAATACGCATTCGACAATAATGATATTTGGTTCCAAATATTTTATATAGCTCGGAAATGTCTTTGCCAAATTTGATCAAGATTGGTTCAGATTTGGATGTAGCTCCCATATATATCTTCAGCCGATTTCCGGTTAATTGTGTACTAAATGGCCAATATCAGTCCAAAAGTCCTGAATTTACGTACGTCCGACCTAACTCAGCCTAGAAGCAAGTATATCGAATTTGGAGGAAATTGGTTCAGATGTAGCTATAGCTCCCATATATATGTTTCATCCGATTTGGTGTTTAAATCCCCCACATTCGCAAAATGCATTCGACAACAATGATATTTGGTATCAGATATTTTATGTAGTTCGGAAATGCCTTTGCCACATTTTATCGAGATCGGCTAAGATTTGGATATATCTCCCATATATAACCTTAATCCGATTTCTGGTTTATTGTGCAAATAATGGCTTATATCAGACCAAATGGAGTGAATTTCGGGACGTACGTTTCCATTTTGTGGAACTCGGCACCGATATATATTTATTATAAGTTTGATTGGGCCAAAAATTATGTAACACCACGAAATATTGATTTCCCACATAGGAAAGTATATATGGATCTTCCTATCTCGCCGAGCTGAGTCGATCTAGCTATGTATGTCCATCCGTCCGTCTGTCCGTCCGTCTGTCCATGTTAATTTGTAATCACTCTACAGGTCGCAATTATGGCCCGATCTTCACGAAATTTAAAATGTAGGTGGGGTTAATGTCAGAATGGGTTCTATTTCTTTTGGAGATGATCGCATAATATTTTGGGGTTGAAATGGACCAAAATCTGAAAAATTTCCTGATTTTGCAGTTGCTCTACAGGTCACAATTATAGACCAAACGAAGCGAAAGTTAGCATGGGGCTAGAGCTTTGGGCTGGGCAGAAACCTTCCAATTTTGATGGTCATCGGGTAACATATAGTGGTTGAAATAGACCATAGCATTTGTGATAAATAAAAGTCAAATTTTCCATTAAACCGCGAATTTTTTTAATGCCGGCGAAATCACAAATAGACGAACAGGTCAATTCTGACCGTTACGTAGATGCCGATAGTAAAAATATCGGATATATAGCGAAATATATACAATGTATATATACAAAGGAAGGGGATGTTAGATAGAATGCTTATATCTCCAGAATGGCTGGAGCGATTTTGACAAATTTTGTAAATTTAGAATGCGATTTTTTCAATTTGACTTATAATATTGAAGTGTCTATTTTGTAATATTTTTGCACTTTACAACACAGGTTGGGGTTATCTATATCTATAAAAGAGGAAAATGTTTGTATGTTTGTTTGTTTGTTTGTAATTTATGGACTCGAAAACCGCTGAATAGATTTTCCTGAAAATTTCCATATATACTGCAACATCGCCTGAAAGTAACATAGGCTATATACATTTTTGAATTTCCACTTGGAACTGGAGATATAGCATCAGAATCGGAGGTACCTCCCAAAAATTTAGATTTTATATGCACATATCTATTGATTGGTTGGAGATACAGTCTCCAAATTTGGAATACGTAACGGAATTTGGAACAAAAATAAGTTTGCCAAATTATATTGTAATCGGTTCAGATTTTGATATAGCTCCCATATATATTTTCGACCGATTTCGTTCATTTGATGCCTCAAACACAATATAAATGTTCGATTCCAATGAAATTTGGAATGTGTGATGGAATTTAATCCGAAAATAAATTTGTCAAATTATATTGAAATCGGTTCAGATTTGGATATAGCTCCCATATATATTTCCGGCCGATTTCAAGCATTTGATGCACCAAACACGCTATGTATCACCAATTTCAATGAAATTTGAAACGTGTGATAGATTTTATCTAAAAAATTGATTTCCCAAATTATATTGAAATCGGTTCAGATTTGGATATAGCTCCCATATACATTTTCGGCCGATTTCATGTATTTGGTGGACCAAACACGACATGTATTTCCAATTGTAATGAAATTTAAAATAAGTAACGGAATTGGGAGCCAAAATGAATTTGTCAAATTAAATTGAAATCGGTTCAGATTTGGATATAGCTCTCCTATATATTTTCGACCGATTTCATGTACTTTATGCACCATACACGATATGTATGTTCGATTCCAAAGAAATTTGGAATATGTAACGGGATTTTGATTAGAAAATAAATTAGTCAAATTATATTAAAATCGGTTCAGATTTGATTATAGCTCCCATATATATACTCAGCCGATTTCACATAAATGATGCACCCAAAGCGAGAGATACAAAATCTAGCACCAGAAAAAAATGCCAAATTATATTGAAATTAGTTGAGGTTTGGGTATAGCTAACATATATATTTCGGGCGATTTCATACATGTTATGCACCAAACATGATATATATAACCGATACCAATGAAATTCAGAATGTGTTGCGGAATTTGGTTAAAAAAATAAATGTGACAAATTAATTGGAAATTAGTTAAGATTTGGATATAGGTCCCATATATATATTCTCGGCCGATTTCACATGTTTGACGCACCAATTTCAATGAAATATGAAAGGTGTGGCGGAATTTTTTTAAAATTATATTTAAATCGGATCAGATTGGGATATGATTTTAATAAGAACCATTGACCCACAACGCCTTGGACTAACACTAAAAAACAACACAAAAATTGATTTGAAATACGCTTATTACGGCGAAGTATGTTGCTATCTCCAATTCACTAATTCACTAAATGCCACTCAACTTCAAAAGATTGCAGTTTACTGCACGCTTGGTATTTGCTATGAAATAAATAAATCCGAAGGACAAACCCTTCGTGTATGTATGTCATGTTTCTGATTTTCTAATAGTTTTGGTTATTTACGCATTAATGTAGT